TCAGCGTCTCACGCTGCGCTGGGCTGCGGAGCCCCTGCGCTGCGGAACGGCGCCCGGGGAGGGGTCAGGCCCGGCCCCGGGGGCGCCGCCCGGCCCGGCCGGAGCCGCCCCCCCGCGCCCGGGCCCGCGCTGCGCCACCAGGCGGCGCCACCGCGCGGGCCTGCGGCCCCGTCCCCAGCATGGCCCCGCCCCCAACACGGCCTCGCCCTCAGAGTGGCCGCGCCCCATCATGGTCCCGCCCCCGGCGCGTCCTGACCGGCAGCTCCGCCCGCGCGCTCGTCATTGCTATCGCGAGAGCAGGGGCTGCCCGCTCCTGGCTACTTCCGCCCTCTCTGCCAAGCCTCGCGTGATCTCCTGCCCCTTCCTCCCGGACAGCGTGCTCGCAGTCTCGCGAGAGCGGGGCGTGCTGCGACTGCGGGGCGGGGCGCTGGGTGCAGTCTCGCGAGAGCCGCGCGGGGGCGGGGCGCGGTGTAGTCTCGCGAGATCTGCGGGGCCGCCGGCGCTCCCCGGCCCGCTCCCTCACGCTGACATGGTCGCCGGCGATGGACCCTCCCAGGACAGGTCGGTCACTGCGGGGACGGGGCCGCCCCGCCCGCCGGGACACAGCGGCCCGGACACGGCCTCGCCCCCTTCGCCGCCGAACGGCGCTGTCCCAGGCCGCGGGAGTCCCTCCGGGGGAGAGCGGCCCCGTCCCCGCCCCGCTGTCCGCTCCCTCCCGGGGGTTATTTATTCCGAGCACCCAATGGTTGCTACGAGGTTTATTTTTATGTCTTGTTCCCTTGACGTTGGCTTGGCAGTCAATGCTTTGTGCTTCCTGCTGTATGAAAAGCCGTGTCTCTTATCTGCGCTGGTGAGGTGTCTTATCCTGTGTGTAGATGGCAGACTGAGACAACAAAGGTCAGGTGTGTTCGGGCTGTGCTGGCGACCTGCATTGACCTATATGTATTTACTATTAGCGATGCTTTTAAAGTTCGCCTTAGTCACACATCTACATCACGAGATGTCTCAATCCATTTAGAAACCTCTCTATGTTGCATCTAATTACAGTCTAGAGGAACGTTATTTCTGATGGAGTCAGAAGTAAAATCTCTTTTTGTGAGTCCTCGGTCAGTGCTGAAACAACCCTTTGTTTTGTGGCTGTAACTTTGTTTGTTTCGTCCCGCAGGAAGCCCTTACCAGCCCGCCATTGAAGCTTTGGAAAGCCACCCAGAGAAAAAGTTTTACAATGTGTCGAAGCTCGGAGGCGCCAAGTATGGTACGATGCTCTCCGGGGGTGATCGGGGTGGTGCCAGCAGCCACTGCACCACTGGTGCCCTGCGGTGCCAGGAGATGCACTTGGGAATTCCTAATGGATGTGTTTGGAGGCTGATTATATCCCAATTTCTTAGTGCTTTATGGAGTTTGCAGGGGTAATACTTGTAAGTTTTTTTTACCGAGGGAGAAAGTACAGGTGTTTCTGCAGTTTTCAACAGTATTCCAAATCAGAAGAATTACTCAGTTTTGGAAAAAAAATGAAGTGATAAAGAACTCCTATTTAATGCTTCAAAAATAAATACAGCTTTCCCTGTATGTCTGTGCAGCTTCATGGTGTTCTGGCTTCCCCTCCCCAGCAGCCTCCCATAGTGGGTGACTGTTTGCCAGAACATGGCTCCTGCTGCAGGCTGAGGTTTTGTGGTGCTCACGCTGTTGCTTAATCTCAGCTTGTCATTAGTATGCGGTGGCTGTCTGTGCCAGGGGACCTTCCTTGGGTCCCTGTGTCCCAGTGCCTTTCACAATGTTGCACGTGTGGTGGGAGGGGAGTCCACGCAGGGGAGGGAGCTTTGCTCAGTGCCAGCTGGAACAGCCTTTAGCCTTGCAGGTAATCAAAGCATGCTGGCATTGTTCTCTCCCTTTGTCTTCATGTTAAACTGAAATACTTACATGGGCTACTTAGTAGCCTGCCTTAGTTATGCCTTCCTTAGTAAAGGATTTGGACTATTTTTTTCAGTTTTGCAAGGTCTGAATTCTTCTGTATTCACAGAATTTGTAGTATGATTCTTGAATAAAAAAAAAAAAAATCAGTGGATATTTCCCTTTAAGCCCATATTTGACCACAATTATTAACTTCATGTTGTTTAAAGAGAAGAGAGAGAGGGGCACAGTGTCTGCTGAAACTGTGCAAGAGCTGTGTGCTCTTGCAAATTTCCCCCACTTGTAGTAACAAAGTCAGTCTTTCAGATAAGCACACATGGAGGAAACAGTGCTTCTGCTGGTGGGTTGGTCCAGGAGGAACAGTGCTGTGGGGTAACAAGACCAGGCAGTTCTACAGCAGTTTTGTGAAAAGCCTCATGACAGGAGTGGAAATAAAACAATAAACAACTTCCTGCTAAAATGTGCCACAAAGCTTGCAGCAGCAGTGGGTATTCCTGAACATATTCTCAGGAGTCTAAACAGACTGCACTGAGAGGGTCTTTGTCTTCCAATAGAAACTTCTGTGCAGAAGCTGGAAGCCTCATGTCAACTTCAAGGTAGCAAAATACTAAATAACATCTAGACACAGTCTGGGACAGCACTGGTAGCAAATTGAGCATCTGGAATTGCTCACTGCATTTGTTGCTAGAACAGTTTGAGTTTTACCTTTCTGGCTGTAATTTGATATTAATTGCCAGCTGATATTAATCAGATTACTGATGAAAATGTTAATTGGTTTAGTTATCAGTTTTCTAGTGTTTTAAGACTTATGGGGAAAATGAGAAGAGTTCAGAAGGATTATGGGCAGACAGACCTGTGGAGATTTAGAGCAGGCTCTTGCTGGGGGCTGGAGCTCGTGTGGGGAAACTTCCATGGTTAAGCTGTGGCAGTGTGGGAGGACAGAGATTGCACTGCCTGCCATGATGCTGTGCTTAACCTGTGAGCTGCTTTTCCCTTGTGCCCAGCCCTGCTGTCCCTTCCTGCAGCCTGGGGCATTGCTGAGCCCGGCCTCCCCTGGGCTGCAGTGCCCGGCCCAGCTCTGCCTGGCCCAGCTCTGCCCGGCCCTGCTCTGCCCGCAGCTCCTGTGGCTCAGGCAGTCCCGGGGGGCCCTGTGATCTCATTGCTGGAGCTGTCCTGTTCCCTGGAAGCCCCAAAGTGCAGATGGGAGCTGCTGGTGCCTCATGGAGCTGCTTCTCCAGAGCTGGTGCTAAGCAGCCCCTGGGGCAGTGAGATTTGTAACCAAGAAATCAAACAAGAAAGCAAACAAGTTCTTCTCTGGGAATCTGGCTTTTAGATCAAGGGAGTGGTGGCATGAAGGTTCATGAGACCTTTTGGATGACATCTTTATACTCAAATAGTTTACTAAGTTTATTCAAATCTTAAACTCAAAATAGCGACTTGTCTAATTAGACAACAGTGGATATTATCTCAGAAAGACAGAGAGAGAACAGAGTCAGCAAGTTCTGTATTAGTAGTTTGTGAACAAACCACTGGATTAGGTTGAGACCACCAATTTTTTTTTATTTTATTAAAGCCTGAACTTAATTGTTTCACCTTCCTTCAGCTAACTTAGGATTTCTCAGTGTTCTTACAAAGCTAGCTGCCTGCTTGAATTATGCTGAAAATAGTGGGATTGGAGGGACAAATGTCAATCAATCTTGATATTTTTTTTTTTTCTTTAGTGGTTATTTTGTTTTGTTTGCATTTGGGGAGATTTTTCTCTTCCCTCTTATTTAATTCTCATTTCCATTTCCCCTTTTTTTCTGTGAAGGAAACTGCTGCTTGTCTGTATCTTGATTCATATCAGTAGCAAACTAACTCAAGCTGTATTTAATTAAATGTTCTTTATATTTTAGGGAGTGTGTTAATTTTAATTGGGGTGCAGAATAGTTTCTTGTCTTTGTATCACTGTCTGTTGAAAATAATATTCTGGCATTGGTTGCTTTGGCTTGGTATCTTGAGTTACAGAATGGCAAAATTTACAGTTAAAATGGTTTTCAGTATTCCAGCAGTTGTTGCTTTTGTCCTGCTCTCATCAATAATCCAGGTCTATACTCCTTGCATCTCTCCCCTGCCAGGCTAACATCCCTTATTGTCACTGTCTGACCAGTGTGCACAAGCCACTGCCTTCTCCCATTAGAATCCCATAGCACAACTCATCAGTGTGCACATTTTGCAACTCTCTGTTCCATATTGTGTAGGGAACCTCAAACCCAAAGGCAACTGGAAAAACAGGCTCCTGAACCTCTCATCCTTCCAAACCCTAGAAAAGTGGAATTCCTCAGAAATGTGAGCTTGTAATTCTAAAAACCTGTGTAAGCTGCAAGCTCATGGTGTCTGTCCCTTGCCTCACCCCAGATACTCTGCCTTACTCCATCCGAGTGCTGTTTGAGTCCAGTGTCCGGAACTGCGATGGCTTCTTGGTGAAAGAAACGGATGCTATGAACATCTTGGACTGGAAAACGAAACAGAACCATGTTGAAGTGCCCTTCTGTCCTGCCAGAGTTGTTCTTCAAGACTTCACGTAAGTATGTGCGTGTGTGCAAAACCCCCAGAAGAACCTGTGCAAACTCACTGAGTTTGTGTTGAACTCTTTGGTGTGAAAATAAATCACACTTCCCCTCTTGATACCCAGGTAGAAACCTGTGCACTGCCCCTGCTGTGCAGTAGATTTCTCATGATAATTCTATATGATGCAAGGGTAGGAGTTGTTCCCTAGGGTACTCTGGCTTCAGGACAGGTTGGCGAGGCTGAAACTGCTGGCCTGCAAGGAGCACTTTACAGGATAAGAGCCAGAATACAAATGGAAGTGGTGATGTTTTGGCTGTAGCCACATGGTTGACAGTTCACACTGTTCTGTCACTGACAGTTCTTCCTTGAGATAACTGAAGATTAGATATTGCTTACTCCACAATGACTAATCCAGGTGAATCCATGAATAATACTTACATAGAAAAAGCAGCTCTTCAGATGTTAAAGTTGTTAGTTATTTGACTATGGCATAGCTGAAAGGGCAGTCCTTCAGCAATCTGCAAATATTCAATTTAAGCTGTCTTGCTGACTCTGTATATTTATTGAGATAATTAAAAAAGGAATTATGATGATAATAAAAATGAGGTAACATTTGCTTAGCAGGCAAAGCCAATAAGATTTACATGCTACTGTGTTCTATAAACATTGCCTCTGTTTTGTACAGCAATACAAATATTGTGAAATGATAAAAGCTTCAGAAATAGCTCTGTCAGACAAATGATATAGGCTGGGGTGTTAAATGTATAGCAGGAGCTTTGATTGCATGGCAAGGTTCTGTTGTAAAGGTAAGGAGTATCCAGAGATCGCTTCTGTACTGAAGTACCATCACACCTGAGAAGCAAAGCAAGGCACAAGAGAAGTGTGGTTATCTTTGAGATGGTCCCATGTTCTTCTTTGGTACATTGCCTTCAGACACACTTGCTCGTTGAGAGGGTGTACCAACTCCATGACTTCAAAAATGGTCCAAGTCCTTTAAACTTGAGAGAATAATAGGTGTATTTTCTGAAATAGGATATAGCTACTTCTAGACTTGGATAAAATGAAAAAGAAGTTTGTGCCACTCAGTGAGTTAGTGTCCATGTTGTTTTACTATTTTGTTTTTCTCTCCATCAGTGGAATTCCAGCAATGGTGGATTTTGCTGCCATGAGGGAAGCTGTGAGAAATGCTGGAGGAGATCCAGGGAAGGTCAATCCTGCCTGCCCAACTGATCTCACTGTTGACCATTCTCTGCAGATTGATTTCAGCAAATGGTAATGGACTTTTTTTTTAATTTTTACAAGCCTTACATTTTTGTCTGGCACTGAAGTGTGGATTCATTCAGGTGTTGTTACTATCCCATCAAATCATTTGCCATACGTGGATCCCTAAAACAAGATGTGGTGGTATATGAAAATGGGCTGGATAAAAATGGATAAGCACTCTTGAGGGAGAGAAAGAATGTTTGTGAGGCCTTAAGGGTGAAGCTGACTGATAATCCAAATTCTGGGCAAGATTTTGCTGAAATAACAGGATCTGGCATGGTTTCCAGAAAATAGCATGTATCAAGAGAATGAGGCAGAGGGCGTTTGTTGTTTTGCTTTGCTCTGATTTTATTGTTCAAGTTAAACAGAACTTTGTTTCCAAACGTGGCTGCCTTGTCACAGCTCCAGAGAAGGGGCCTGCTATTCTACTGGGCATTTTGAAAGACTGTCATTGCAGCCCATGGCTTGTGACTGGTCTGGGTTTTTATGGGCTTTGCTTTAACACCAGATAAATGAGGCTATGGATATTTTCAGAGAGAGAAGTATACTTGGAGAAGTCTGGAAAAGTAAGGGCACTGGAAAGCTACCAGCATGGTTTTCTTTGTCTGACAGGCAGTGATGTGACAAATACAGCCTGGGGCTGCCTTTGCTAAAAACATAAATACTGCACAAGAGGAAAAACTTGGAGCTTTTGTTTAGTGTTTGCTGAAGTAAATACTAAATATTGCAGCCTCCCTTCACCTTCTCCCCTGCCTCTCAATTGTGGAGCCTTCCAAAACCCATGCAGAATTGCATAAACTGTTCAGGCTCTTTGGAAATTTTAAAAGTTCACGGAGAAAAAGCCTGTGGTCGAAGGATATGGATGTGTGAGTCATTTCTGTCAACCTTCCAAATACTCACAGGGTTTCAGTTTGCTGAGTGTCAGAAGAGCAAGAAACTGCAGATGATCTGTTGTCCTGCATATGTGTCGTGTCAGTTCTGTGCTCTGTCCATTCCTGTGTCCAGAGGGACAGCTGATTCCTTTGCAATTAGGCCAGCCTAAAATTATCAGGCAGACCAAGTGTTGGCAAGAGGTCTCCTCGTGCTGCTTTGTAATGATAAATCCGGCTCTGGAGCATCCCTTTGGAGAGCTCTGGGGGCTCAGCAGCTGCTGGCCTGTGATAAGAAACCCTTGGCTGCAGGGTGGTTTGTGCTGCTTTTATAGAAAGCTCCCATCTGTGGGTCACAGCCTGGCAGGCTGCAGTGGGATTTAGACAAGGTATCTGCTGAGGCCAGGCAATACCCTGCACTGGGGATAACTGGGGATCTGGCTGTGCTACTGAGGCAGAAGGAAGCAGTGGCTTTAATTGCAATTTTGTGATTTAATAATTACGGAGAGAGGTGAAAGTCAATTGTTTTTCACAATAAGCCTTTTTTTGCTCTCCTGCAGAGACCCAATGTTGCACTAGTAGAAGGTAGTGTGCTATGTGGAGTTTATTTAAAAAAAAAAACAAACTGGCTTTTCTCTCTTACTTCTGACTGGCTTGAATAGTGTATACAATTTATCTGTGCCTTCAAGAATTTGTATAAAAAGCCTAATTATGATCAGATTGTTTATTCCTTGAGAAAGCTTTGCTTGCAATCATTCCTTTGTGGTTTTAATAGAACATGTACAGCACAGTCTTTAAAAAAGGAAATAAATTCAGTCTCCCATTTGTATGAGACTCTACCCACAACTTCCAAGTCTAAAACTCCGAGTTCAGCCTTTAGAATGCTGTTTAGAAAGATTTCTGCTCTGTTGTGAACAAATGGAAGGAGTCGTTTGGTGTTAATCTTTCAGACAATCCAGTTCTGTTCACTTCTTAACCACACCATGCTACATTACTTAATTAAGTTTATCCAGCGACAGTTTACTTTGCAACAGGGTTGTAATAAAATAATTCTCTTTTTTCAGATATTATTCTATAATCTGTTGAAGGGATTGCAAAAAACACAAGTGGGGGGGCGCGGGGTGTGTGCACAAAGAAGCAGCTTGGCAGTGTCTCAGTGGATGCCGTGTTTGATGTTGCAGTGCAATCCAGAACGCTCCCAACCCCGGCGGGGGCGAGCAGAAGCCGCTGGCCAGGCTGTCCCCGCTGAAGCCGCCGCTGCGGAAGCCGCCCCCGTGCCGGGGCCACAGCGGCTGCCGGGGCTCGTGCGGCGCGGGCGAGGCCGGCCGCAGCCCGGGGCCCTTCCCTGCGCAGATCGAGAACACGCCCATCCTCTGCCCCTTCCACCTGCAGCCTGTGCCTGAGTAAGAAAGCGTCTTTGCTAAATTGCCTTGTACCTTTGTGTTGTGGAACGGTGCCTGTGACAGCGCAGGGAAATGGGATTTTCTTTTTTTTCATAAACATCCTTTTGTAGTTTTCACCTATGCCTTAGATAAGTTGTTTCAGTATCTAGAACTAGATCAGATGTAGCAGATAAAAATTAGTCTACAAATTTTGCTTTTTACACTCTGCAGATGGCTACCTATTGACTCATGGCTGTGACTTTTAAATTAAATATTACCACTTCTCTCATTGCTTTACAACAACAACTAAGCATAGGAGTAATTCTTCAAAGCAAGGCTGATGGAGTAACTCAATGAAGCATTAATTAGTCTCTAAAAGTAACTCATAGATTTTTGTAATAACTTTTCAGAAGTCTCTTGCTCTTAAAGAACTGAGAACTAGCCTGGACATCATCCCCCAGCCTGTGCAGGATCTCGCAGTTGATCTGTCACTGATTTGAAATTCAGTAAATATCCTGCCTGTGTAGTAGCCCAGGGGAGCCTCATGTCTGTGCCTCTCCCAGATTTCTGTGTTATTAACAGGTTGTTGTGCACTGTTCCACCTATGCCAATTAGGTGTAATTGTTCTCCTTCAGCTGCTGCCTCTTTGTCTGATGGGCTGTTGAGATCCCTATCTGCCTGTGCTGGACAGGTGTACAATGAAAGAGCTGATCAGATCTGTATCCCACAGAGATATTGTGTGAATGCTGTGGTATTGTTGTGGATGTGGAGATGTTCCTGCTCAGTGCAGGAGTGCAGGAGCAGTGGTGTTTCCAGCAGCACTGGTGTTTGGCAGCACACCAGCAGTGGGGTTTATGCAGCTGCAGGGTGAATGCTGACTGGCCCTCGGGGCTTGGTGAAGCAGGAGAGGTGCTGGCCTCCTGCAGAGAAGAAAGGGAAGGGTCATGACTTCCAAGTGAAGTACACTTCTGAGAATTGAGGACTTCCTGGTATAAAACAAGTGTGTTCCCTTCCTTGTTCAGCTGCTCAAAGCAGAGGTTATTCCTCTTAAGCTATGGATTACAACAAGTATCAGTATCCTAATAAATAACACATACAGAGAAAAGATAGTTCATTTTATGAGACTGTACTGATGAGTTCTTGTGAAGAAAAACTTGTGGCTTGGAGGGAAATACAAAAATGGAGGATAGTTACAATTGAACTAGTGACCATCTTGGTTCTTTAATGGATGGAGTTTTGAGATGTGCAGCCTGTGAGTTAACTGCTAGGGAACAAAAGCTTCTGTGTACTGTAGTACATGCTTGGAATAGACCTCTCCAAGTACTTTTGAGATCACACACTTTAGATGAGCCATACCTAGAATAAACAGGTTCTCAGACACAGCACATATGAAATCAGCTATATCTCATTGTTTACAGAAAGTTTGCTCCAGGGAAGCAATTGTCTTTGTTCTAATAAACCTCTTCAAAGAGTCCTGCAGGCTTAAATAAGTCTTTCATCAAACAAACTAAAGCTACAACTTGTTCTTCTGTAATTTGAAATGAATTATAACAGTACTTGTAAACTTGTTTTCTTTCTAGGCCTGAGACAGTATTGAAAAATCAAGAGATGGAATTTGGCAGAAATAGAGAGAGGCTTCAATTTTTTAAGGTATGTCTGTGTACCTGCAAGCTTTGTGGTTTGGGCTTTTTTAAGAGTAATTTGTCCACCAGTATTCAGGTTTAGATGATAAATTAAATGTGAACATTTGGAAGTGTCAGGTTTTCAAACCTGAAATTAAACAAGAAAATTGGCTTTCTAACTTGAAAAAGTTTACTCTGATTTGGTTCTTGTCAGTGGGGATTTATGAAGCACTGGTGTTTTTAATGCCTCTCATGAGCTCAGTACCTTAGGTCACAGTGAGTTTCTGGCTGAAAGGGTTCTTTATCCATAACTGTGTTAACAAAATTGCTGAAGTTGGAAGTGTTGAGTGGAGACCAGTGTTCAGACATGGCTGCTCTCAACCTGGGCAGCAGAAGTCCTGTGGTGAACAGCAGCTTCTCTGCTGCTGGGCAGGGCTCTGCAACATTCCTATTTGATCCTTATCTGTTTTGGTTTTGGAATTCACTTCAATGATCTAGAACTCTTCTCATGGATGTGGACTAGAGGTTTCTTTCTGAAAGTTGCAAATTAGCTTTTACATTATTAAAGAAGGAGATGGCCAGGCTGAACCTTGTTAGAAGTTTCTGTGTCAACTCTATTAAATGTACCGTCCTGAGTTTGCAAGCGGTTTCACCCTGGAGTGTCAAACCTAAACTCAGTTGTGCCATAAATATAAATTCTGCTATAGATACAAGTGCTTAGGTTTGAAAGGGGCATGAATTACTGATTTCAGTCTCCAGAGGAATTCAGTGAAAGCTTTTGTTGATGATTAAGAATGTATCCAAGGAGATGACATACCTCTGTTTGACAAAGGGACAAAAGCCACTTGGGTAAATAGCAAGGCTCTTTTATTGTGTCTTCATTTTGTCTTTTTAGTTATGTTCTAAGAATTGAATATAGCTTTGAAAAAAATGCAACTCTTTTATTCTCCTTTTGGAAAAATTACAGTGGAGTTCAAAAGTTTTTGAGAATGTTTCCATAATTCCACCTGAGACTGGAACAGCTCATCAAGTGAACTTGGAATATTTGTCCCGAGTGGTTTTTGATGTGAAAGATTTCCTGCATCCTGATAGCGTGGTTGGCACAGACTCACACACAACCATGGTAAATGGCTTGGGTATCTTGGGCTGGGGTAAGTATGCTCAGAACTTCATTGCTCTTGGAAAGGCAACTAAAGCTTCACTAAAAAATATTTCTTCCCACTGGGTGTTTGTATCTCAAGCATAACAGACTGTCTTTAATTATTGTTCCGAATCTTTTTTGTCTACAAGTAATCTTGAATAACATTTCCTTCCATTGAGAATTGTAATTAATCCCTTATAATTTAAAGAGAAAACAAACAAAAACCAACTGATATTCAAATAGGTGCTGTTTGTACAGCTGAAATTTGTGTAAAGGTTTCTTTTCTCACAGAAGATGAGTTTTAGATATAAAATATTTTCTGGTTGACTGTGATGTTTAACTTGAGCAATAATCTTGCTGGATTTTATTTTTGATGTGCAAATGTTTAATGGAACTTGTAAATTTCTTGCTGTGTCCTTGTTGGAAATGGAGCACTGCCCTTCATTTGGGAGAGAAAAGCAGCAATATATTTATTGTCATGAGTCTTTAGCTTTCTATAAAGGGGTTTATTATTTTCTGGGACCTGAGCACACGGCGTGCAGGCTGCTGAAGGTGTGACAAGCCGTGTCCCACTGTCCCTGCAGGCGTCGGGGGCATCGAGACGGAAGCGGTGATGCTGGGAATGCCGCTCACGCTCCCCCTGCCGGAGGTGGTGGGCTGTGAGCTCACAGGCACGGTCAGCCCCTTTGCCACATCCATAGACATCGTTCTCAGCATTACAAAGGTAGGAGTTCAATGCCGTTTCAAACAAAAGAGGAGACGTTAATGCAAGTACTACCAGTGTTGCTTGAGAAATGAATTAAATGAGAGGAGTGTTTTTAGTATACCTTTAATTGTGGCAGTGCAGAAAGATACAAATAATCTCTAACTATTTCTATTTGCTAGTCCTCTGAAGTGGGGTTTTTTTTCTTTCCCTCTACAGTGATTTCCTTATAGACCCTCTTTCACTAAAAATAATTCATACTATTTATTTTTTCAAACATAGGCATCAGGGTTTCAAATGCTTGTGACTTGTGAATTGTGACAAACACAGCTGGCACTGTACATCTTCATATACCAAGTATTGTGTGT